AGAGGGAACACTGGTCATAAGCACAGTCCCAATGCTACAACCATGGTGAAAGCCAGAGGAGGTATAAGTCTAGATAGCTGACCCTATCCAGGTATATCTAAAGATATCCATCAATGACATCTTCCTCTTCCCAAAAAGGAAAGGCACAGGATGGTAAGTGGATGGAGAAATCAGCATCAAGGATTCACTTTTCTATCCAAAGACAAACCACCACAGAGTGAAGTCCCCTCCCCTGCCACCTGTTGTCTCTCAAATAGGACCCAGGCAAAGGTTCAACTTTTTCTGGAAAGTGTTCACTGAGGATTCTTCCTGTACTTTAATAAACCACCAACTCTTTAGGAAGCCTGTGTTGTCAGGTGTGTGTCTACTTACCTTTTCTTTTTCCTCCTGCGAGCAGCTGGATCTTCATCTTCATTGTACTCCCTTGGCATCCTATAAACAAGAACATTCCTGTGCATGAAAACAGCCTTCACTCTAAAGCACTACCGAAAACTAAATGGTATTAACTGCTGCTCCACATTCAACATATCGTTGCATTAACTCTGGATTTAAATCTCCTACTCTCTCAAGCATCCAGATTATGTGGATCGAGACTTCCATATTGAAATGTAATATTAGATAAATACACAGCAACTGAGAAATGTGACAAAGCAAGGCTTTGTCAAGAAGTACAGAGAGTACACGCTTACTCATGATGCCGAGATTTGGATGGCGGGGCAGATGTTGGTGTTGCCCTTGGGGTCATAAGAAGCTTCCGAAAGTCTTCATTGGTAAGCTTGGACCTGTGACAAAAACAATACTGTTTTACTTTCAGGACAATAGTGCAATGAATTGATAACCTGCATTCATTAAACAATGCCACAAGTTAATGACACAGCAGAAAGTGTTTCCAAATGCTGCTTTACAATGTGCTCACTGGATGTGCTTGGAAGACAGCAAGGGACTTTGGAGAACCTATAATAATTTTAAAAAAGGGATCTGGGGCTCTTTTGTAGATTATAACATGCAGGATTGAAAGGGGGTACAGAACACACAAAAATGCAGCACTACAAATGGTTTCCTAGATCAATGGTTCATTCTCCCTGCTATACTGGGTAAAACTCCCCCAGCCCATTGCTGCGAAATGTTCTTTAGGCTCTTTGCAGTTTGGGCAGTGGTCAAATTTTTGATCCCCAAAGCCCAAACTGTCTAATGAAAAGACAAGGAAAGGCTGTACTCACTGGTGGAAAGAATGAGAATCATCCACCTCATGGCCATCTGGGGCCAGAGGGTTAGAAAACGGTTCACCTGGAAGTAAGGAAGGAAGATTACTAACCAATGAGGCACACATTCTACTGCCAAAAGAATTTACTGCAGTGCTCCTGACCATGGATAAAGCACCAGACATATGCAGAACAGACCAACCATGAACTAAGGACCTTGTGGAGAACCTGAGGTTCAGTGCTCTGCAAGGTAAACGGTCCTTGTCTCCATTGCAGCAGTTCCAGAACTACAAGCTGAAATGTTCTAAAGTAGCTAAAGACCTTCCTGCGCCCAGGTCAACCCATGTAATTCAGCCTCGTGTGTGTGACAAGGATAGTGCGGGGGCACTGCAGCAAACGTCTTGCAGATCTATTGTAGGGGGCTAGTCCCAAAGATTCCCCACCCCATCCTCTCCATCTCTAAACAACACATTTTACCGGACATCTTAACTTGTATTGACAGTCACTGGCTCTTTGGCCCATATATTTCTTGACAAGCAGGTTGTCTCCCTTTTGATACACTATTTCCACTAACACGGTGATACTGTAGCCCTCTCCTGAACAACCGGAAGTATCCACGTTATATTCCAAGGACCAGATTATTCCCTGGATGCTTATAAAGAGCCCCTCAATTAGATCATCAGCAACAGCAGACAAATTTCCCTGGAAGACATCTAGCCTGCAATTGCCAATATTCTCCTGCACTCTGCAGCCCCAGAGGAAGTGCCAGCTGTCTTTGAGGATGCACCCTTGATTAACACAAAGCAGAGGCCCAACAAGTGCAACCAGAACCCTGCATGAATGTAACTTGTTTCCTAGGACCAGTCTGTCCTATGCAGGAGGCATCCCCCCCTCCCCGAAGTAGAATTCCCATCATTCATTGAGATGGGTTAAATACACAAGAGTACACACTTCGGACCTCTTAAAGCACAACTAATTTTTGTTCAGCAATCCTAGATCAGACTAAACTCCACTCTTTACAGGAGCGCCAGCTGCTTACAAGCACCACATCCCCCCCCCAATTGCATCTGAGGAAGTAAATTCTGACTCACAAACACACAGGAATAAGTGTTCTTAGTTTTCCAATTCCAATTCTAATAACCTTTATTGGCATAACATTCTTAGTTTTCAAAGTGGCACTGGTCACGTGTTTTGTTTTGCCACCAGAAATTGGCTAGTCTACCCTCTGATATAGTGCACCCCTCTACACACACTCACACAGTTGCAGGGCTTTCTGGATGACGCTTCCATCCTAGATCCCTTCCAGGCCAGCTTCCGCCCAGGGCATGGGACAGAGACAGTACTGGTCGCTCTTACTGATGACCTCCGAAGGCATCTGGATCGAGGTGGTGTGGCGGCACTGTTGTTGTTAAATCTGTCGGCCGCGTTCGATATGGTCGACTACCAGTTGCTGACCCACCACCTCGCCGACGTGGGGATTCAGGGGCTCGCCCTTCAATGGCTTGCCTCTTTTCTCCAAGGTCAGGGACAAAGGGTGGTGATAGGGGAACAGCAGTCCCGGAGACACCCTCTTGAATGTGGGGTGCCTCAAGGGGCAGTGCTTTCCCCGATGTTGTTTAACATCTACATGCGCCCCCTTGCCCAAATGTATGGGCTTGGGTGCCATCAATATGCAGATGACACCCAGCTCTATCTGATGTTGGGCAGCCGGTCGGGCTCCAGTCCAGAAGATCTGCACCGGGTGTTGCAGGCTGTGGCTGGTTGGCTCCGACTGAGTCGGCTGAAGCTAAACCCGGCGAAGACGGAGGTCCTGGGCCTGAGTCGGGGTGGTCTGGGGTTGGGGCTCCCTCTCCCGACCTTCGATGGGGTGCCTTTGGTGCCAGCGCCGGAGGTTAGGAATTTGGGAGTGCTCCTGGACTCCTTGTTAACTATGGAGGCCCAGGTAGCAGCCACTGCTAAGTCAGCTTTTTATGGAACTGACAGCACTGATTGGGTGTACCATCCTTGAGACGCCATCTTTGTGGAAGATTATTCTGGAACATTTAGAGCACCTAATATGTTGTAACATTGTAGTAATGGTTTTACATGATTTTAACTTGTTTTTATGTGTTGGCTTATGCCTATCTGTGAGCCGCCCTGAGCCCGCGTTGCGGGGAGGGCGGGCTATAAATTGAAATTATAAATATATAAAATATAAAATCCTCCACAGTGCACAAGAGCTAAACATTGGAAAAGTTAGATTCAGGTGGGTAGCCATGTTGGTCCGAAGCAGCAGAACAAAGTTTGAGAAGTGTGCAAGCACATGAAGCTAATACCTTGAATAAAACTCTGTTGGTCTTAAAGCTCCCACTGGACTCAAACTTTGTTTCACTGTTGCTGTTATTGAATGCCCCCACTAAATCACACAAAAAAATTAGGGCATAAAAACAGCATTTCAGATCAATCTATTTTATATGCAATACATATCCACAGGCTGTCAGCCTACTCGTGGAGGCTAGGTTTGATTGCTATTTGCTGTGTGCCACTGCTTTAAGGGTCTGTGAGAGAAATCGAAGCTCTGACATTTTACCCTCACAGCAGGTGAGCAGTTATAAAACAGTTCTCCTCTGGTAGCTGTCAGAAACCATTGCAAGTGGGAGGAAGGAGCTATTGAAAGTTTCAGCCGCCCCTCATTTACCCAAGCAGTTCTGACTGCCACCCCCGACCTCGAGGATCACCCCTGTTAGCAACACTTCCCTTCTTACAGTGTCATTATGTTTTATTTATATTATTTCTATCCCACCTTTCTCTTTCTCTTCTCCTCCACTTTATCCTCACAACAACCCTGGGAGGTAGGACAGGCTGAGTGTGTGACTTGCCCAAGGCTACCCAGCAACCTTTCATGGTGCAGTGGCGATTTGAACCTAGATTTCCCAGATGCTACACCAGGTAAAGGTTCCCTTGCTCGAAAGCCAGTCGAATCCGACTCTAGGGTTGCGGTGCTCATCTCCGTTTCAAAGCCGAAGAGCCAGCGCTGTCCGAAGACTTTTCCGTGGTCATGTGGCCGGCATGACTAAACACCAAGGTGCACGGAACGCTGTTCCCTTCCCACCGAAGGGGTACCTATTTATCTACTTGCAATTTCTTGCTTCGAACTGCTAGGTTGGCAGGAGCTGGAACTAGAGATGGGAGCTCACTCCGTCATGCGGCACCCGGGTCTCGAACTGCTGAACTCCCGACCTTCCACAGCCTGCAGTTCAGCGTCTTAACCACTTGAGCCACCGCAGCTATGCTACACCAAGCTGGCTGTCATTACGTTGCCTGAACGTGCCTAGAAGCGAGACCCGCGGCTCAGGCACCGGGAGCCAAAGCTATTAAGGCCAAAGAGCGACCCAGCTCCACACTCAGGCTACCCCACAGGGTTGTTGTGATAATAAAATGGCGCTAGGCCCCGGCCTGCGGGGAGATACACCTCGACGATCCCCAACGGCTGCCTCTGCCGGCACCTTACAGGCCAAGGGAGAACCCGGCTCCTCCACCCATCGCCCCGGTGACACTCACTCTCCCGTTCCGGCATCTTGGCTCAGCAGCTCCGGCCACAACAAGCGCCGACAACACCACAGCAACAGCCAGAGGCCTCCCTTCCCACAAGACACTGCGGCGGAAAGGGGCTGAGGAGGCCAAAGCCAATGAGCGCAGCTCCGGGAGGGACTCTCGACCCACAATGCACCGCGCGGCAGAGCCTTCGCGGAGGGGCCGCTTCCACCCACAATGCGGCGCGCACGACTTTGCGTAGCCCCGCCCCTTCGTTGATTCCAACGCGTGGATTGGCCGAGGCGTCCTGCGGGGCCGGGGCTCAACATGGCGGCGGGCTCGGCTGCGCGGGTCATCGGGAGCCACCTCAAGGAGATTCGGATCCACCTCTGCCAGCGCTCGCCGGGCAGCCAGGGCGTCAGGTGGGTGGGCGCTGTGCAGAGGGTGTCGAGGCTGCGCCCGACGGAGGAGTCCAAGAGCTGACGGTTCATGAAAGGGCCTTTCGCTCTCTCTGCCCTCACAGTTGCCGCGCCGCTCGGGACCAAACGGGCAGGGGCGTGGTCTTAAGGTGTGGGTGGAGCCTGGGGGCGTGGCTAGGAAATGTAGTTGGGGAATAGAGCCGTCCTGCGCTGGTGTATTTTATTTATTTATAGAACAAAAGTTTGAGTCCAGTGGCACTTTTAAGACCAATACATTTTTATTCTGAGTATCAGCATCCGTGTGCATGCATTGTGTGTGTTCATGTAAAGGTAAAGGGTAAAGGTTCCCTTGCTCGAAAGCCAGTCGAGTCGGACTCTAGGGTTGCAGTGCTCATCTCTGTTTCAAAGCCGAAGAGCCAGCGCTGTCCGAAGACGTTTCCGTGGTCATGTGGCCGGCATGACTAAACACCGAGGCACACGGAACGCTGTTCCCTTCCCACCGAAGTGGCCCCTATTTATCGACTTGCAATTTCTTGCTTTCGAACTGCTAGGTTGGCAGGAGCTGGAACTAGAGACAGGAGCTCACCCTGTCTTACGGCACCCGGGCCTTGAACTGCTGACCTCCTGAACTGCGGCAACTCGGGTCTCAAACTGCTGAACTACCGACCTTCCACGGCCTGCAGTTCAGCGTCTTAACCCCTTGAGACACCGCAGCTCCATCTTGTGTTCATGTACCTGAAGGCTAAATATCAGGAGAAACTTCCTAACTGTAAGAGTGGTTGAGCAGTGGAACAGACTGCCTCGGGAGGTTTCCCTTTCATGTGCATGCTTTCCCTTGCGCTTAATTGCCTTTTCGCAGCACCGCATACCTCTCAAGGCCACTGGAGGAGTTGCTTTGTCTCTACACAGGATGAGTTGTGAGAAGCTCTTACCTGTTTTGCTTTTGCAGCCGTTAGTTCTCAGCCTAATGCCCGCGGGAACCCCTGTAATTGGGTGCACAGCATACGAATGCCCTATAACCTGTTTTGCTTTTGCAGCCGTTAGTTCTCAGCCTAATGCCCGCGGGAACCCCTGTAATTGGGTACACAGCATACGAATGCCCTATAACCTGTTATGTGCATAGATCACCCGCCATTCCTAACAGTGTTCATGTTACTGCATCTATAGCTTTCAATAAAAGTAAAACCTTCTTGGAAGTGTGTACTTCATTGCTTGCTGTGGGTCCTGACAGCTGGACGTTTTCAAGCGGAGGCTGGATGACCATCTTTCGGGTATGTTGTAGGTATGTAGGGGGTTGGACTAGATGACCTGCAAGGTCCCTTCCAACTCTAACATTCTATGATTCTATGATAAGAAGTGTGCATGCGCATGAAAGCTTATTCCTAGAATAAAACTTTGTTGGTCTTAAAGGAACCACTGGGCTCAAACTTCGTGCTGCTGCCTCAAACCAGCACAGCTGCCCCACCTGAATTTACTTATTCATAGTCTCCCTTCTTTTGCTGAGACTCAAAGCACATTGGTGGTGGAAAGTGTTGTCAAGTCACAGCCGGTTTATAGCGATCTCTGTTAAAAATATTTGTTAATGTTTCTTTGTTTTGGGGGACTCAAAAGAACCACACCAAGCACGGTCAAGTTTAAATGGTGTTTAACTATTTACTGGTGAATAATTAAACAACAGTTTGTATATATCTAGAGTTATTTTCAACAGACCAACATAGAGCTATTACAGTTAAACTCTCAGAAAAAACCAACTGACAGTGAGTGGCAAAATAACTGTCACTCTCAGAATCTCAGTGTACGACTAAGACAGACGCGACAGCCAATCAGACTTCAAGTTGTCTCACACAGATAAGATTGACGGAGCCCCACAGTACACGCCCACATCTCTCATGCTTGAATCTTCAAATTGTCTGCTGGTGTAACCTAACTTTACAAATATAAACTTATCTCTGCACTTGTGCCTCTACATTTACAATCTGACAATCTCTTGGGGTTTTCAAGGCAAAAGACATTCGGAATGGTTTGCCATTGCCTTCCCCTGCATGGGCAACCCTGGACTTCCTTGGTGGACTCCCTTCCGAGTACCAACCAACGAGGCTGACCCTGCTTAGCGTCTAAGATCTGATGGGGTCAGAGTAACCTGAGCCATCTATGTCAGGGCCAAAGGTGGGTCACAAGGATATAAAACAAAAATCCAGCGGCACCTGAAAGGCGAATGAATTTTTGTGAGCCATGGCTCACTTTAAACTTTGTTGGTCTTAAAGGAACCACTGGGCTCAAACTTCGTGCTGCTGCCTCAAACCAGCACAGCTGCCCCACCTGAATTTACTTATTCATAGTCTCCCTTCTTTTGCTAGCAGGCTATCGAAGGCAAGATATGCTATAAATAGTACAGAAAGTGGATTAGAGGGTAAAGACAATGCATTAAAAGCATGTGATAACCTACAATAATCACTGCAGTGGGTTACAGTCCTGTTCTGTTGTAAAGGTGCGGTTACTTCTTCTAGTGGAGATGCTGAGGGATAAAACTTTGACATTTCCGTGGCGATCTTCTATCTATGCATGTGGTGGATGTATTTCTACTATGTCAGCTCACCTTGAAGGCTTTACCAGAGAAGGGAGTAGAGGCTCTGGGGCAGTGCTTCCCCCACAGTGTGACATCAGCAGGCACCGTGGCATGAGGAAACAAATTGGTTGCTGCTGTTGCATCTAGTTTGGTCCTCAGCTGCCTTCCTCAATGTGAGATACAACACGCGCTTTAGCCAAACCGTATAAACAATTAATACACTAGTAGAAAAGAACAATGGAGCTGTGTTGGCTCAAGTGGTTAAGACGCTGAACTGCAGGCTGTGGAAGGTCAGTAGTTCAGCAGTTCAAGACCCGGGTGCCGCAAGATGGCGTGAGCTCCCATCTCTAGTTCCAGCTCCTGCCAACCTAGCAGTTCGAAAGCAAGAAATTGCAAGTAGATAAATAGGTACCACTTCGGTGGGAAGGGAACAGCGTTCCGTGCGCCTTGGTGTTTAGTCGTGCCGGCCACATGACCATGGAAACGTCTTCGGACAGCGCTAGCTCTTCGGCTTTGAAACGGAGATGAGCACCGCAACCCTAGAGTCGGATTCAACTGGCTTTCGAGCAAGGGAACCTTTACCTTTAGACAAGAACAAGAGGCCAGAAGCACCTTAAAGACGAACAATATATGGCAGGGTAGGAGCTTTTGTTAGTCACTGCTTACTTCTTCAGACACAGCTAGAATTAGAGTCAGTCTGTCCTATTTATTGGAAAGTGGAGTGATTTCAGATGCCAAATGACATTAGCAGGCAAATAACAATAGCAAGTGAATGACAATAGCAGGTGTGATTGGATTTAGGTGAGATATGCTGAGGGGTAATAGGCCTGGAGAAATCAGCATTGATAATGAGACAGGAAACCTTGGTCTTGATTCAATCCAGGTGGATGCATTGTCTTGAGCTTCATTATCAGTTGCAATTCAGCAGTCAGAATGCACTGTTGCTGTTGACACAGGACTTTATTTATGGCATTTGTGTGTGTGCAAGGGGGGATGAGGAATGTTATAGTACAGCACAATCTCGTCTGGTCTCAAAAGCTAAGCAGGGTTTGTACCACCAAAGAAGACTTTGCAGAGGAAGGCAATGGCAAACCATCTCTGCTTCTCCTTTGCCTTGAAAACCCGATGGGGTCGCCATAAGTTGGCTGCAACTTGATGGCACTTTACACAAATGTGTGTGAGGAAGTCTTTCAGTGTGGGACTCTGCTTAGGATGGCTGTTTGTCCCTGTATCCTTCAGAGCTTGCATCTTTGAATCAGCCTCCGAATTGTGCAGTAGAAAGGAAGCTCCTGGGGCTGCAGGGAGCTACTGTTTATCAAGGCCCAAGAGCACACATGCGGCTCTGATTTTGACTTATGAGAGGCAGCAAGAGACACGGCAGATGTCACATGTGGTCCAGTCTCTCTGCAGAGTGAAGAGTGAGCACTGGTGCACAACAGTCGCGCTGGCAGTGGACACAAAGTGGTGAATCATGGGGGGTGACTGGCACAACTAGTAATGTCAGGTTACAGTAGGGGACTAGGAGTGGAGGTGTCATCCGTGTCGTCACTGTTGGTTTTTGCCACACTTGTTCCAGCAAAGATTGGTGATAACACACGTCATTGCTATGTTGCTTAAGTGTATTTTTATTTATTTATGCTTTCGGCTTGTATCCCGCTCGAACCCCAAGGGGTCTCTGAGCGGCTTAAGTTACTCTTTATCCCTATCTATGGCCACATATAGTCAGGGGTGGGGACTGCCCTACCAGCACCCAGTGGAGGAACTTGCTGTTCTTCGGCTTATTACACTTGTTCCAGCAAAGATTGGTGATAACAGACGTCATTGGTATGTTGCTTAGGTGTATCTTGGTGTATCTTGTTAGTTGGTGCTTCAAGAGGGAATTAGATAAACATATGGAGCAGAGGTCCATCAGTGGCTATTGGCCACAAGGTATAGATAGGAACTCTCAGTCTGGGGCAAGGGATGCTCTGTATTCTTGGTGCTTGGGGGGGAGGGCAACAGTGGGAGGGATTCTAGTGTCCTGGGGGCCCCACTGGTGGACCTCCTGATGGCACCTGGTATTTTTGGCCACTGTGTGACAGAATGTTGGACTGGATGGGCCACTAGCATGATCCAACATTGGCTTCTCTTATGTCCTTATGTTGTTTTGACGCAGAGGCTTTCATACTGAGTTCCAGGGAAGAGTGGTGGGTCCGTCAATGATATCAGTGACATTGGACAAGCTTCCCTGAAAGACATCTTAGCCATCACTACTGATCCTTCTCTTTACTGTGGAGTTAAGCATTGGGTATCTTCAAGGGCACACTCTCAGCATGGGAAAATAGTGTTGCCCTCAAACAAGCCCCAGAATTCTCTGCAGCATGTAGGACTTCTGCGGCTAACTGATAATGGAAAATGTTTCCTGAAGCTGTGAAGCTTGAAAACCACTGCACTAGAACAACCTGTGTCTCTCAAGTCATATCCCTAGCACTGCATAGTTCTGTATTGTGGTGATCTGAAAGGCAGTTAGAAAAGTCCAGTCTGAGAAATGTGTGTGGTTTGTCCTTTGCAGAGACTTCATTGAAAAGCAGTATGTTCCGTTGAAGAAGGCAAATCCAGACTTCCCTGTTCTGATCAGAGAGTGCTCAGATGTGCAGCCCAAGCTCTGGGCTCGATATGGTGAGTTAAGGAGCACTTTCCTGCTGGTGTTTACGAGTGTTAGTGTGGTGGTGCCAAGTCAGAGGGCTCAAACATCAGTTTTCCAGATTAGTGGCAAGTTGGAGTGCTGAACTATCCTGTGGTTCTTTAATCTTATTGGGACTCATAGGCAATGCTCCCTCTAAACTGTGTGGTCTTATGCACAAAAATTCTACTTTGTGAGCTACTGGCATTAAATTTGTGCATGGGCAATTTGGCTGCTGCATCGTTTGCTCTGGAGTCATCCTTCCTGAGTGAAGACAAAAATGTGTGAGCCAGAGGCTAAAAAACTGTGAGCTAGCTTATACTAACTCAGCATAGAGGGAACACTGCTCATAGGACTGAAACAGAAACTTCACTAAGCAGCTTCAGCACAACTTATGACTTCCTTCTCTCTCACGTTGTGTCCCTCCGTTCTGGAGTTTAGAGGTCCAAAGATGCTGTCTTGCTTCTTCTCCCAAACACCTTGAGCCTGGCTGAATAAACCTTTCCTGCAGGTGGAAAGAATATAAGCAGGAAACGCCAACCCTTGAGAACAAGGCAAATCAGGATCTCTTTTTCTCCATTCCCCAGCTGTAGATCCCCCAAGATTTTCTTTTAATGGTGGGGGAGAACACCAAGATTACATAAATGTTTAGGACATTAGTTCCTAAAAGCCTGTTCAGCATATGCTTATGATTAAGGGAGGGGACCACGACTCTGAGGTACAGCCTCTGCTTTGCATGCAGAAGGTTCCAGGTTCAACCTCTGGCATCTCCAGTTAAAAGGACCAGGCAGTGAGTGATGGGAAAGACCTCAGCCCAAGACCCTGGAGAGCCGCTGTCAGTCTGTGTAGACAATACTGACCATGATGGACCAAGGGTCTGATTCAGTATAAGGTAGCTTCATGTGTATGATAATTAGCTAGGACTTAACAGACGGAGACCCTTTCAGGGCTCTTTTTGTAGCAGGAACTCCTTTGCATTTTAGGCGACACACCCCTAATGTAGCCAATCCTCCAAGAGCTTACAGTAGCCCCTGTAAGAAGAACTCTGTAAGCTCGTGGAGGATTGGATACATTTAAGGGTGTGTCGCCTAATATGCAAAGGAGTTCCTGCTACAAAAAGAGCCCTGGCAATCATCAAGACCCTACATTAGGAAAAGTGGCAGTCAAATGTGTGGCTAAAATCAGATACCTTTTGAAAAACAATTGACGCTTCTGGTAGTGTATACTGGCAACTTCGTGCTAGTGTCTCATCTATGCTAGTGACCACCAAGTATGTGGTGAAATCTTTCTAGATTTGTATTTGGCTGGCAGTTTTTTTGCCTAAACAGACTTTTGAGCTGTTATGACAGCTAACGAACCTAGACAGGAAAGGTGTGTTGTGGCAAGACAGCGTTAATTTGCACAAATTGGTGAGATAGGAACATACCAGTACTTTTGTAAGACTCCGATCCCTAAATTAAAGTGAGAGGTCGTGCAGGATTGTCCTCTTCAATGGACTCACAAAGCCCACTGCTTTCTGGAACTCTTGACAGAGGTAAGGAAAGGACTGCTGGTCATTGAGACTGCTTCATTTCTTGATGTAGTTTACTACGACCATTGACCTATTGGATGTCAGTTATCTTGTACCATTTTAAGTCACTGGTCACCAGAGTTTAAAGAAGCTTAGATGAAATGCAGAGGAAGATGGGACGGAACATAAGTGAATCTAATCTGCTGGTGACACAGGTCATTTGGAAAAGTCCGCACTTGCACACTTAAAAGGAACTTGGTACTTGTGGGATAACACTTTTCTTTGGCACCTTCTTCTTTAATAGTCGCTTTCTGGAAGTAAAAACTCAGTAAAAGCCCAGCATTGTGGCTTGGCTGTACATATTGTTTCAGTCCTTGTGTTTTCATTGTCCATCCATTGTGGCTGTGAGGGAACCAAGTCGGGACGTTATCCTCCTCGCCTACAGCCTCAAAATCAGGGTTATTGGTGGTTTTGTAACTGCATACGCATGCGGTCAAGGAACTCAAAAGGGAACATGCTGGGGCAGAGCAGGGTTGACAGCTGTCCACTGGCAATCCCTTGAGAGCATTCGGGACAGAACCTGGGGAGGAGGAGCATCATGAACGTCATGGCAACAGTTCTAGCTGAGCACCTGTCAAACTCGGGTCTCGTTTGCCATGGAATTCTTAATTTACTTTGGTTCTGTATGCCTTTATCATTTTTGTTGGGAGAGGGAAATCTCTGAGTGGGTGGGTGTGGAGACAGCTTTGCTACAAGTCACGCCAGCTTGTAACTGGTTTAGGCGGGGCCTCCCTTCTCGGGGAAGAATGCATGGTTGACCTCAGGGCTGGCCCGAGGTGTTTCTGCGCCCCAGGCAAGGCGCAGATGCCAACCTCCCGGTGGGGCCTGGAGACCTCCCCAGCTGGCTGCCTCCTTGCCCACCCTCTCCTACCCGTCGCCCTCCCCGGCGCAGATGAAGCCCCGCTCACCTCTCGCTTTCTCCGGCTCCTTTGGTGCTCCAGGCGCTGTGGGGCAAGGGAGAAAGCTGGGCCGGGGTGGCACACGGGCAGGGAGGCGAGGCCGAAAGGGGAACTTTGTTTTAAGAGCCCGGCCGATCTACTCAACCTCAGCAGCCCCCGAGCCGACCTTGTCCCGCTGCACTGAGGCGCGAGCGAGGAAGAGCAGAGAGGAAGCGCACGAGCGAGCGGGAAGTCCTCCCTCTCCGCTACTTGGCCCCCTGGAGGGAGGCTCCTGAGTTGCGAGCAGCTCCTGAGCCTCTGGGTGCCAGCGGAGCGGCGGCAGCAACGGCTGCCACGGGGGAGAAGCCGCAAGGCGCAGATGCCAACCTCCCGGTGGGGCCTGGAGACCTCCCCAGCTGGCTGCCTCCTTGCCCACCCTCTCCTACCCGTCGCCCTCCCCGGCGCAGATGAAGCCCCGCTCACCTCTCGCTTTCTCCGGCTCCTTTGGTGCTCCAGGCGCTGTGGGGCAAGGGAGAAAGCTGGGCCGGGGTGGCACGCGGGCAGGGAGGCGAGGCCGAAAGGGGAACTTTGTTTTAAGAGCCCGGCCGATCTACTCGACCTCAGCAGCCCCCGAGCCGACCTCGTCCCGCTGCACTGAGGTGCAAGCGAGGAGGAGCAGAGAGGAAGCACACGAGCGAGCGGGAAATCCTCCCTCTCCGCTACTTGGCCCACTGGCGCTGGAGGGAGGCTCCTGAGTCGCGAGCAGCTCCTGAGCCTCTGGGTACCAGCGGAGCAGCCACGGTAGCGGCTGCCACAGGGGGGAGAAGCCAATTCTGGCGGGAAGCAGCTCCTTTCTTGCTTGTGCGCTCCCCCCAATCTGTCTCTGTCTCAACTTGACCTTGGACACCAGACACCGATAGGTACTAAGCTTGCAGGTGCTGGGGAGGGCTAACAGTGCACAGTAGATTTTGGGGGGCTGGATGTATTGGTGTGATTGGACTGGACTAGGTATAATATGAGAACTGCCACCTAGCGGGTCAGTTCTGACACTGAGAGTCTCAGCTTGAAACATCTTTATTTCTCAATAAACGAATCGCTGCCAAGAGAAGTGTTGTTGGGAGTAAGTTTGTTCAAGAGTCTCACAGCACCCAGAAGTGATGCCACAGCAGATACAGTGCTAAGTCTAGGAATTCTCCAATCATTGTGGTAAATGCTTACATATGCACACTCTTTCCTGAGCTTGGAACAAGAGGTTCTTTTCCCCTTCCTCTCTTACCTGGTTGTGCAGCCTGCATTTGAGCTCCCTCCCTGCCCCTGCCATTTATCCCCAGCCCCACCCTTGCATCTTGAGCCCTCATCTGGGCCAGGCGTTGGAGCACTGCTCCCCTCAGTCTCCTACCCCACCCCTCTCACTGGCCAGCTCTCAGAGGGGCCTCTGTTGGGGCTCACCTTTCCTGGCTCTCTGCAGGCCCTTGCCTGGTTCGGCCCCGCCCTTTCCTATCCAGCCCATCACATCTGGGTTGCTGCAGGGATCACTGGCCTGCTTGATTGCCTCTGTGGAGGCTCCTTTCCCCCTGGCCTTGTAGTTGGTTCCTCAGTGCCAGCCGATGACATCATCAGAGGGTGACAGACTTTCTGCAGCCCAGGAGAGCACTGGCAGGGCCCACCCATGTTCAGCTACTGTGGAGCTATTGTCAACCAGGTTCTGTCTGCATCACGGGGGGCAGCAGGAAGTGCCAGGAAGGTGGTTGGGTCCTGCTCAGTTCCAGGGGAACCCCCCAGACTTGACCGTGCAGGATCTGGAAAGTGATAATGCTCTTCCCAAAAGGAGAGAGGTAGTGCTTTCCTGGGAACAAGCCGGTACAGGTGACATGTCTCTGGTTCAGTTTTTCAACAAAGTGCACTACAGATCTTCAGCGGAAGCCTCCAGTGGACAGTCCTGAGGGGGGGGCTGCCAGCTGGCTGGCAATTCTGATGAGTGCCTCGACCTTCTCTCGCAACAGCAGGTTATCCCGATGCCGCTCTAGAGCCTGCAGTCCTGAGTGATCCACAAAGCCGATGGCAGCCTGAATCGAGAGAGGGGTTCAGGTTAGACTTGCTCTCGAGCCCAGTGATGCAACTGGAGCCTGAGTGCAGCCATACACACCAGAGGCAATCTCGTACCTCTGGCCAGTGCAGGAAGAGGAGGTGCGCCAGTTCCAGAACTTGATTCACTGCTTGGTCATCAGAAAGGGCGAGGGCACCGAGGAGAAAAGGAAGCCCGGCCTTCTGGTGCAGTGCCTGGCAGTGGGCAGGCCCCTTGGCCGCAACGTTGCACAGCACTGTCAAAACCTGCGGAGCGGGACAACAAACGAGAGCGACTGGTCACTTGCCATTCTAGTTTGTACAGAAGGAATCGAGGACCTCTGGGGCATTAAGACCCTTCATCTTGACCCTGCTTGCTTACACTCTTCACTGCCTCCCCCCACCCACCCTTGGGATGCAGGTTTTCAGTCGGTACAGCAACAGGAACCTTCTTATTGATTTGGCACTCATCCGTAGATCTGGTCGAGTTCCTCTCTGAGAGAAGTCAGCAGACAGTCCCTCGAGGATTAGCTGATATGGGGCTGTATTCGCTTCTTCTGTTGTCAACGCTAAACTAACCTCTGGTGCAATGCCTGAGCAACCTACTGTATTGCATTCTCCCTTCCTGCAAAAGCATGGGTCCTGGTAAAGCCAGGGGCTGACGTAAGTGATCAGGACAGTAGCTGGGACAAAAATATGCAGAGCCTGAAGGGCAGCATGTGATATAATGAGATGATAATATCCAGAAGCTGATGGGAAGGGGAGGAATGGCAAACTTGACAGGTTCCTGAGAAAGGATGGGCTGAAAATGTGTCACTGTGTGCTGGGTTATTCAATTCACTACACGGTAAGTTCATGGCCTTAAAACCCACGATAACCAGGCCAACCTCATACAACTCAAGCATACAGAAGTAAACTAAGTAAATACATACTGTCCCTAATAGTTATTTCATTTAGTAAGTCACCTGTAAACAGATGCAGCAAAATGAAATTGGCCATCTGATGTCCTGAAAGTTTTTTTTAAAAAAACTCCTTAATAGAACACACACTCAACTTTACACCTAAAAACACCCTTAGAACCCACTTTTAAAAGCAGTATTTTATTTAGTATCTGATAGGCATCACGTGGCTCATTCCGGGCAGGGGGTCTGGTCCTCTAAATACCAAACAGTCCCAGCTGAAGTCCTTCTAAAAAAATGTTCAGCCTGACATGACTTCAAGCATTGCAGCAGCTGGAAGAAACTGCAGCTTGGACATGAATCGTTTTTTCTTGCCATGCTTCTGTGTACGTTTGTGCAAGATTTCTTCTCCTCTTGCCTCTCTGATGGGCCAAGGCCCTCGTATTCTGACTTCAAGGCAGACTGGAATCTGAACTGGGAAGTTTTTCATCAAGCTCCACCCATAAGAGCAGGAGGGAGCAACAAAGAGGTGTGCATCAGCATGGCAAACGAGCTGTGTTCATGCTAAATCATGAAGTCCATTTACAGCTGGTTGTGCCATCTGCAGCGCTGCCTTGGATTATACACTCTGTGGTGGCTGAACTCCCCAGCATGGTTTCTGTACAGCTCCCGGCTTGCCATACCCTTGGCCTTACGTGATGGGTTAGCTGCGCCCAGGGGTCATTTCGTAGAAAGAGAGGAGCAGGAGCTCATTAGCATAACTCATTTGCATAGGCCACACCCCCTGACATCACCGGAAGGGTGTCAGAAGGCAACAGCCACCGCTCAGGCTCCACTGGACTGTTCTGGATTGCTAGCTATTATGGGGGGGGGGAGACGTGCAGCTCTGTACTCACATGCAACGAGCCCCACTTGTACCTGAATAAAACTTGGTCTTAAAGGTGCCACTGGACTGTTTTGGGCCGGGGGGGGGGGGCCCTCTGCAATTTACCTGGCTGCTTCTTGCTCTGACTGAGGGCTGCGTGGGGCTTGTTGCATGTGCCCGCCCCCTGGGCTCTTTACTGCCTGAGCTCCGGTCCCGTGCGCTCCTGCAGGAAATGACCCCTGGCTGCGCCCTTTCTAAGCCTCCAGAAATATCTGGATTGAGCCCTGACGGGTTCACATTAGCTTTCAGCTTGATTCCACCTGGTGAGATATGCCCGCATTTCTGAAGAGATTATCCACAACGGGTTGGGTCAAGGATACTCTTCTGTGAAAACCGACCTTGCTGACCGAAATTATTGATACAATTGGGAAGCAAAAAACAACTCTTGCTCAGAAAAAGGGACTGTTCTGCTGAATGGGACAAAGCCTGAAACGATGCCAAAGAATGATGCTCTCTGGCTTAAAACAGGCTTGTTCCTGTTTCTTATCCCACCATTTTTATCTTAACTCTTTAATAAAAAACTTTAAAAGGGTGCACTGCCTTGACCTCCCTTTATTTTTTCTGTTAGGAGAATAATCCGATTGATGGATTCTCCCCCTTTTCGGATGCCTAGCTCTTGTAACTAGGCTGCTAAGAGTGCATCGTTGCCCTAAGTTGCAAGTTGTCAGGTTTCCCCAAAAGGGACACCTGTGACATTTATAACCTCAGCCCAAAGTTCTACCCGGTGAAGAGCCAGACATCCTTTTCTTCAAGGCGAAATGGATGTGATCTATAGGTCATATTCAGAATACATAAAGAAGAAGAATCTGCCCGGCGAGGTAGTGGTAAGATTCTCCAGAAGATACATAAGGGATCAGATACCAAAAGCAACACATGGAACTACCCTTAAAATTGATGGCAAGGAGATAAGAGTTTTGAAAGACATTCCCTTTGAAATAAGGGGAAAAAGGAAAAAATACAGAGACTTGGCTTTGTTTCTACAAAAGAACAACATATCCTACAAATGGATTGTACCTGAAGGCATACTCTTCAAATTTAAAGATAAGAGGGGGGAAATTGACTCTGCTATGAAAGCAAGAGAGTTTCTGCAGCAACAACTGGATCCAACAGGCGAGGGGGATTAGAAGAGTAACCAGGGGAGTGACGATGAAGCACTTACTGGAGAAGATTCGGAACGTGGGGCGTCTGCCCCCAAGCAAGGATATCGATTGAGGGAAAGAAGAGGCAAATGAGATGCTAATCTTCTCTAAAGTTTGACTTTTGATTCTTATTATCTAACCGTTCTTGTGTATGGTTCTTTACTAAGTCAGAATACCTGGACTTGAATTATTTAAGCTATTTTAACGATCACTTTCAATGTAACAAATTACTCTTCTTTTTTTTTTACCTAAAGCTACTTTATTGTAATCATGATATGACCCCCACCTCTTGGGTTTTTAGTGGTTTATCTTTACTTTCTTCTGTAGTTTATAGTTTCTCTTTCCC